TTGTTCATCCTTCCTGGCATGGACTTCTGATTGTCTCATGGATGCATTTGCATTTGGGAAATATATGGATATGGATTCCATACAATAATATTTGGCGAGATGATGTCTAGTTTTTACTCTTTGAGTAGTGGAGTTGGTTTCAATTAATATGATGCATATGGAATTCAACAGGCGCTACTGGTAGTTTCTGAATGGGAGCTAGCTGAAGCTAGAAAAAAAGATGCATTAGAACGTGCAAGAGTGCGTGGAGAGCAACTACCTCATGAGTTGATTGCTGAAGAAAGGGGTTTGCATGCAAGTGTGGAAGCTGACGTGAAGACGCTTTTACATGGAAAAAACTATGATGAACTACAAGCACTGCAATTCCAGATTGAATCACAAATGAGATCAGGGACTGCTAAGGTTGTCGAGTATTGGGAAGCCATTCTTAAACGTCTTCATATATACAAAGCAAAGGTACTTCGACATTACCTCTCGAGTCTCTGGCATTTGCAGCAGGACTCGTAAATAGATTTATCAGTTCATCTCTGTCACTGTAGGCTTGTCTGAAGGAAATCCATGCCAAAACGCTGCGGAAGCATTTGGAGTTCTTACAGAAGCCGTCGGATGAGGGCAAAGATACAGAGATGGAACAGAATTCCAGACTTGACGAGCTGGATTCTTATCAGGAAGCAACGGGTAAGACTAGGGCCAAGTTTTCAATTTGCCTAAATAATAAATGGTAAACTGACAGTTCTTTCTTGTATAGGTACTGAAGTTCTTTCTCCAGAACCCATATTGGATGAAGAGTCCCAGGAGGAGGAAGCGGCGGCAGGATCTTACTCACCGCAACTGTTACACAGTGAAGAAGATGAAGATGCAGTTGACCCTGAAGAGGACAGGGTTATGCTGGTATATCTATCTTTAAAGCCCTTTCACTTGCTATGTATGCTCTTTTTGGATTTCCACATTAAATTATGAAATATGGAGTAAAATGTTTTCACTTATTTGGTTGCAAGGTAATACTGTAAAGTAAAAAGAGAAAGGAACTTATTCAATCAGTGAGGGAAAATTTTATAATTATTAGGGAAACGCATTTAATAGCTTAAAAGTGAGGAAATGGGATAAAAAACTGAGGACAATTTGATTGGGTTAACTCACAACTCTCCTCCCTCTCCCCAGTAGGATCCACAGGCATATCCCACTATCAAAAAATACACTTTTTATTCCTGGGCAACTACGTAAGATCAATATTCAATTGACTTTGAAGAGCACAGAATCATTCTTGTAACGCTAGCTTTAAATCACTTTCCATTGCCATTTATGCTGCTTTTAGAATTCTGATTGAAGGGTTTAGCAAATAAAATAAAGAAAATGTCATGTAAAATGTTTTCACTTGTTGGTTTGCAAGGTTAAAATAAGAAGGAAAAGTTATTGATGAAATCGACGAGGAAAATTTGTTGTTATGGAAACACATTTTCTTGCTAAAAGGCGAGACCACATTGATTTCAGACGTGCATGCATATCCTATTATCAGCTGGACTTGTTTTTCTTCCCAGTTTTTCCAGGGCAATCGAACTAGATGTGCATTTTAATCTGCACTAGTTTCAATTTCCTTTTTCCTAATATTTTTTTTTTACCTTACCAATTCTAAGATACAATCAGAATGTAACTGAATAGAAAGAACCCAGTATCTTTTCATGTAAAAAGTATTTAAGATGGGCATGCCTTTGATATGTATGAACATGTATGAACTAAACAACATACATGTACGCATGTATTACACAGGAGAGGAAACGTATGGCTGTATTGGAAGAACGCCGAGTTCAAGAACTGGCATCAAGGCCAACTCCTGAATATAACTTTGAGAAGACGGCTATGAAAGCCATGGGGACCATGGAGGAAGGTGATGCCGTATTTGGCTCAACTGATGAAGTTAACCTTGATTCCCAGGTAGACGCATTTAACTGTTATATTGCATTCCCTAAGTTATGTTGACAAAACCTGTTGTATTGCATTCCGTAAGTTATGTTGACAAATAATCTTTTNTTTTCAATTATTTTTGACACATTTAAAAGCATACTAATATGCTTGTGGATACAGGTGTACTGGTGGCATGATAAATATCGACCAAGAAAGCCCAAATATTTCAATCGTGTTCACACTGGTTATGAGTGGAACAAATACAATCAAACTCATTACGATCATGACAATCCACCCCCCAAGATCGTGCAGGGATACAAATTCAATATCTTTTACCCAGATCTTGTTGATAAATCCAAAGCTCCTAATTACACGATAGAGAAAGATGGAGATAGTGCTGAGACTTGCATTATAAGGTTTCATGCAGGGCCCCCTTACGAAGACATGGTAAGCCGTCTTCTCCTTTTGGTTTCCAGTATATTATGTTGTCTTTGTCGTCTCCTTTTGGTTTCCAGTTTAAGGTTTGATTGGAATTTTGTTCTCCGTTAATGACTAGTTCTGTTGGAAACTTATGAATTGACATGACTACGCCCCCTTACCGGTCTCCTCATCTGTGTTCTAGGCATTTCGAATTGTCAACAAAGAATGGGAGTACTCGCACAAGAAGGGCTTCAAGAGTACGTTTGAACGTGGGATCTTGCATCTGTATTTCAACTTCAAACGTTATCGATACCGTCGTTGATACTATTTTGGCACGGAAGCCTGGATATCGCTAATTTATAATTGTCATGAGCTTATTTTATTGAAGAATTTACATGTATAACTGGAAATAGATTTATGTTGTGCAGAATAATTGGGTTGTTACCGGATACAGACGTGTACAGTATAGCTTTTTCAGTAATTTAGTGGGTGATATGAACTATGAAGAAAAACCTCTCGTATAAATGGTGGCCAAAAACTACTACCATTTATTAACCATA